TTTTTTTTTTTACAAATAGTTTTTTGCTGAAGAAAATCACAGTTTACGATTTTCAAACAAAGTTATGTGTAAGATAATTGACACGGTTCAAGCAAATCACGATGATTTTTTTAATGATGTTCGATGAATTAATAGTAGTGTCACCTAGTCTAAACGGTGCACGTAAGAAACTGTCGGACGGAATAATTTGTCTAATGTATATTGTACTTTAGTTCGGTTATAGACTGTGGATCACTTCGGCAAACTGCTTTTAACATCTGAGTGCTTTTTTGTGCAAGCATACTGTTGTCTAATAGATCAGTCGTAGCTGTCTAAATGGCAGCCAGCAATCAAAAAAATTTTGATTTTTATTTCGCATATGACATACACGGTTAGTTATGGATATGGACTACTGTATTAAGAATTTCATGATTGTTAGCTTTAATTGTTAGCTAATTTCTAGCTCTTCAATTGTACGGTTAAATATGTTCCATACACGATTATATTTTATGTCAACCATTGATGCTGAAAAACTGCGCAGGAATTACTAATACTGGGTCAACAGCATTTTAGATGGTGGAATTTGTAAAGGCTGCGTTAAGCTGCGGGAATCAGAGCAGGGAAAGGATTGAATAAAACTCATCTGGTTGACATGTGGCATTATTGTTATTATTATTTGCTGTATTTTTATCGGAAGCTTTTTGATTTGTCTGCACACACTTCTGCTCCAATTCCACTGCCCAACACTGCACATTTATACTTGCCAATAAACCTACAGCGACAAAAAAGTTGACCGATGTGTAACAACAGCAAAAACACCAACAAAAATTTTGTCTTGTCAACGATAATAACTTCCTCTCCCTTCGTTCCTTCCCACCCGTTTCTGTAACAGATACTGTAAAACAATGTTCTGAGGCAATCGTATTGCACTGATCATCGATAGGTTACGAAGTCGTCTGTTGTTTTAGGTGCAAAATGACCGCGAACATAAAAAAATGTATTTTTTTTCGTTTTGAACATTTTTTGGCACATTCATTGGAAAGCAGGCGTTTAGTTTTGCTTTCTGCAAATGGTTCACAAACTGTAAACTACCAATTTTTTGCTGTCGTCAGTTTGCAAGTAGGTAAAATGAAATGGGAAACCGGATTGTTTCCAGGTTGCCATGCTTAAAACAAAACCAAATTTCTGTTTAGGCTGACTTTTAGTAAGCACTGTGTGTTCAGTAATAAGCATAAAACTTATTTAGAAGGGGAAGGAAAGAAGAAAAATTC